ATGAGTTAGCTCTTCTGGGCCAGCCTTTTTCCCCTCTGAGGAGACTCCTGAACTTGAAAGAAGAGTGTGGAAAATGGGACCATAAAACAGAGCCGTGAATAACAATTGCTGTGCAGAGAGTTGAGATTAAGTAGGGAGTAGGGAGGGGCCTGCCTTCTGGATGAGGCAAAAACCAAGTCCATTACCTGAGATTTCCACTGACCATTGTGTCTGGCCCAGCATCTCAAGGCAATTTTTCCAGTTTAAGTAAATTAAGATAATGGCTTTAATCAATGGCTAATATTAACAAAGATTTGGAAAATAAAGTAGTTGCTTCATTATCATGTTACTGAGGTGGAGGGGAGAAGAGAGAGGTGTTGGCAGTTAGCCATAAGCTAGAAAGTGAGAACCCTACTTATCTTTTAGTTTCCTTACAAAGAAACAGAAAGAGGAAACCCAATCTAATGATACTGGGAAATACACTAGAAACTACCCCAGAACATCTTCTCCCAGACAATTCAGACCTGATTTGCCACCAAGAGACTGGTGGATCTGACACAGACATATTTCAAGAAATCCCTGATCTAGGTTTTCTAATTCAGTAGATATTATAATGAGGGCCTATTGAACAAGTCCTGATATTAGAAGGTCTTTCTACTCAAGAAGGCTGAGAAATACATGCAAATTAACTGAGGTTTCCCACCTTGCTTATTTTACGAATTATCAACTTAAATTTAGCTTAAAATTTGATCCTGGAAACAAAATTAGTGAGCATAATCATAGAAAGATCTATGTCTGGGAAATAAGAGTGGGGGGAGAGAAGCTAAGCTATCATAAATTCCAATAAGTGAGATGTACAACAGCATAGTGTCCAGCGCAAACCATGATAGGAACAGCTCTGATCTTGGAGTGGTGCAGAAGAAGGAGTGAGTTACCCAGAGTCAGTATTGAGGCTACCAATTCCATCTATCAGTTACTTAACTTTGTGCAAACCAAAGGCCACTTTTTCATTCAGCAAATATATTGAATAACAATATAAGTATTTTTAAATATTGGGCTGAAATTAGGTAACAGTAGTGGAAGTACTTCAATCAATTAGAAAGAGCTAAAGAGATGTTACTAGCTGCTGTGATTGTGACAACTTTGATTTTTCAGGTTTACTCACACATAATTGTCCATTTTATTTTGATAAGTTTTGTTCTCTAGCGAAGTTGTCACCAAATCATGAGAAATGCTTTCATTCACTTGGCCTGGATGATTTATCTGACCACCATATTGCAACTACGAATTTTCTTCTTCTTTTCCCTTTCTATTTAACAGCTCTAATGTTTTTCATTTCAGCTTCTGCTGAAGGATTTCATCTCCTTCTCTTTTAAGGTTAATTTTTCTTCTCTTCCAGAAAGTGAAGGCTGGAAGAGAATTATGCAAAGTCTCTTGATCTGACAGCATCAAACTTCCCTTGCACATGGAGTAATTTTTCTATTTCATTTTTAAAAAAGATTTATTTATTTATTCATACAGAACTGGGGTACAGGCCAGAGATGTGGAGGGTTAGAGGATTCACCAGGGACAGAGTGGAGAGCAAAACAGGCAGATCGATGAAGTACACTGCTGAGGGGAGCAGCGGGCAGGTCAGAAGAGGTCTGCCACGCCATGTGGGTCAGCTCTGGGGCAGGCAGGGAACGAACTCATGCAGAAGTGGCTTAAGCTTCTCAGTGATGTGCTTTAACCTGCTGTGCCACCAGAGAGGGCCCAATTTTTCTATTTCAGCACAAAATTGCTTCATTGAATACAAAGAGAAAAAAACCTGACTAAAGCAACTTTAGTTGGGGTTTCTTAATGTCCACCAAATGCAGAGCAAAGCAAATAGAATAAGAGATGAACATGAGAGTGTAGACTACACTTAGGCCCAGAGAACTGATACTGAGACAGGAAGTGATGAAATCAAGCCTCTCATGCACAGAAAGTATCATGGGGAAAAGTGGAACATGGGGAAGTAAATCACAGGGAGAGGGAAGAAGAGGTCAAATGAGACTTTGGGAAAAGCCCCATCACTGCCCCTCATTCTGAGGCTGGAATTGATGACACTGCTTCCTTTATACTTCCAATCTCCCATTAAGAAAAACTGTTGAATTTAACTGAATTCTCTGTCAGTACTAAATTTCCTAAGGTATTCACAGAAGAGAGAAAAGTTTAAGCAAATTTTGCAGCACATTAATTGTTAAATGCTCAAAGATCTTACAGACTTATATTGCTTTCTTCCACCCTAACCAATCAAGTGGGAAAAAGTAAAAGAATAATTATTAAATATCTGGGTACCAGGTATCTTCTACATTGCAACTTTATTAATGTTTACTATTCTCATGTTATTCGTGATGGAAAAGTGGCAATGTTATTAGTCGCACAAGCTGAAAGGAAAAGAAGCAAAAATTCGGAGATGCGTTTTTTTTGTATAAAGGGGGAATTTCAGAAAGATACATGATGAAGGTAGTGTTGGGAGAAGGCGTGATTAGGGAGTTGATGGTGTCACCGTGGGGCCAGGCACTAGAAGTGCTGAACACCAAGTGAACATATAAGACGTGTGACTTCAGGCAGAGGCACACAGAGCCTGCCCCACTCTTTGTTGCCAAGATGCAGGCCCCACCTCCTACTCTCAATATCTGGACTTGTGTCACAAAGTCAAAAGATTAAAGAAAAGGAATTTCACACTGCACCCACGTGCTTAATTGCCTCCAGGTGCTGCTGAGCGGCTGCCTCCCTACTAACACCACACATTTCATGTGCTTAACCTAGAAGTTCCTCATGTCACCAAGGGAATGCAGCCCCATCACCTTTGATGCTGGCTGAAGTTAGCTGGAACCTACAACTTGAAAGCTAACATCAATGCTGGACTCTGGGACAATCTTCCTTGCAAACAACAACGGTTTAGTAAGTAATACTTTCCCCAACTCACTTCATAGTAACTTGCAAAGTGAAAGAATCAACACAGAGAGTTTGAGTTGGGCTTTTAAAACCTTGGCTATGACATGGTAAGGATGTTTATGATAAGTTACGGAAAATTAAATGTGAAATATTGTATGACAGAATGAAGTCCTTCTCCAGCTTGATGTATACAATACCACTGACAGAACTGTAGAACAGAGCAGACCTGGGGCTGACTGAACAGCCAGGCCACTCAGGCCTCCTGGCCCCGTACCCCACTTTTCCCCACCTCCGTCAGCCCCTTTCCCTTTCTGAGGAAATGGTGTGACAAATACTGCTCAAGTCTCCAGTTCAACAGGGATGTCCAAATCACCTCTCCAAAAGAGGGGCTCATTTCTCGGTGCCAAGCGTGACTCAGTGGATCAGACTTCTGCTTTCTCCATTTCCTGACTATCTACAGCAGATGAGAGCTGCGTGTGTCCGAGTCATCCTTCCGCTCTGCAGGGTTTTCAAACTGATCTGGCAACCTCTGTCAGCCCTCAGAGCTCCTCAGGGGGTCAGCTCAGAGTCTGAGAGGGCCCTTCCCGTCATCTCTGTTCCACCATAGCATTGTTGCCTCTTTTTACATTAGAAACCTGACTTCTAGATCACATCTAAATGTCCTGCTCATGTAAGGATCCAACTGAACTTGCCCAGTTTGGGTTGATAAGATGAGGGTGGAATAGGATGATTTCACCACTCTGCTAGAGCAGAACTTGATGTTGTACCTAACGCCCCTAAGCTTCCACCACGACTCTCAAGTACTTTTGTCCACACCAGCTTGACTGACTTAACCCTGAACAATATCTTCTTAAAGTAGGAATTACTATTCCCATTTGATAGCTAAGTGGTCTGAAGAGCAGGGGACTTGTGCAAGTGACCTGGTTATTGAGTGGCAGTACCACATGCTTTGTGGATGGCAGACTCCAGTTCTCCAACAATGTGCTATAGTACAGTGTGTGCTCTGGTCCTGCTGCACTTGAAGTTATTTACCTGTGTGCTAATTGGTTCTTCTGATCTCATCTTCCCAAGAAGGCCTTACCAGTTTTCCAACAGAAAAGTTGTCTATGGCCTCCCTGGTGGCATAACGGGTTAAAGCACAGCACTGTGAAGCTGGCCGCAGCTGCTTCAGCACAAGTTTGATCCTTGGCTGGCTAGGGAGATCCCACATGGCACAGCAGATCTCTTCTGTCTCTCCTGTTGCTCCCCTCAGCAGTGTACTTTGTTGATCTGTCTGTTCTGCTCCCCACTTTGTCTCTGGTGAATCCTCTCATCACCCACGCACCTCTGGCCTATATCCCAATTCGATATGCAGACCATGAGGACTAACCTGTCCCAGGACTTCCAGAAATCCCTCGTGCTACATTGGGCTACACATGTCACTATGGTTAGCTGCTGACGTGACTGGCAGACCCAGCAGACACAATGAAGCTATTAAAACTCAGTGGCTGGCACCATTCAGATGCTCATTTCCGTGATGGTCCAGGCACATGCTGGGTTTCTGGGGAACTTCCCTCTGTTCTTAAATGTAATTCAGGAAATGTGTATTTCAAAGTAAACAAATTTGCAAATTCTAGGGTACTACTAGCATTATAAAAGAACATTTCTCAGAATGCTAAAAACATATCCAAGAAGAAGGGCAGAAAGGGAGTAGAGTAAGAAAGGAATATAGTCCCTTTGTTTTCAAGAAAAGAGGCAGATTAATAGATAAACACACATATGCAGCATTAGGGGCTGGGCTTACCACATATGGAATCACTTTGCTAAATTACAGCATAATGCAATCGATGCAGCTGCACATTTTTTTTTTATCACTGGCGCAGAAATGAGTCAAGTACAAGGAGGTTGACTGAACTTAGAGAAAATGACACCCAAGTTGAAATTCTACACAAACTCACACATTTTGTGTGAAACATTCATAGGCTCTCTGAGGAAGTATATCATAACCAGTACAGGGAAACAGTCAATGGAAATGCATTCTCCCTGGAACAATTTGATCATGAATCGGAGGCCGGGAAATCTTTGCAGTTTATACGCACTCTGGTCTCTTTGCTACTCACCTGAGCAGAGAAGTCAATGAGCTTTGGAAGCAGCACTTTCCCCCCTTCATCACTCTTCAAGAAATCCAGCAAACTGCCTGTTGATAGAGGAAGAAAAGTTAGTATGGTTTAGACACGCAAGAAAAAAAAATTCAAGTGATCTTCACTATTTGGGGGAGGGAAAACCTCACAAAATGATTTTGTAATTCTGTGTAGTCACACTATATTTTCCTGAGATTGGCCAAATATGGTTCTCTCTAACCTGTTACCTTTGACGTGATGTGAAATGTAGCATGTGCTCCAGGTAAGAGAGGGTGACAGTGGGGTCTGCTCTGCTCCCTGCAGGTGCCCAAGAGCACGCACTTCAGAGTCACCTACCACCTCCATACCTCACTGCAACTGCCTGATCTTCTGAGCTTCCCTGGTACCACTGCACAAGTTCTCCCAAAGGACGTGCCCGCAGCAGGCACTCAGCTAGTGCCTCTTATCTGTAGTCAGCAAAGGCACAGCGAGAGCTTAGCAGATACTGGGAGTGCTCAATGAGTATTCCATAAACCAATTCTGCTTTGGGGAAAGCCAGATATATACTTCCTGTGGCTTTAGCTCTGAAACGAGATTTTCTTTTCCTCTAAACCTGGAGTACTAACGTCAGGGTAGCCTAGTGAAGTTGTGTACCTAATCTAAGTCTCTAGAAAGGGGCCTATTCTAGTAGTTATATCAGAGTTCTTGTGAGAACATTTGCTCAATAAATGTACTACCACTACCACCACAGTACGGGACAATGGTACCAAACCCGCAGATTGCTGACAAGGTGAAGTGAGACCACCCAGGAAAGGAATCAAGAACAATCTGGTCCATAGCAAGTTTTCCATAGGTTAGGCATTGCTATCAGGAGAAATCATATTTACACGCATGATTAAAAAGCTATTGTCTAATTAATTCTACAAGCGTTTACTGAAATCCTACATGTGTCAACCCTTAGCCTGTTTCCTATACTCTGCACACCTGAGTCATATCATATGGGATAGTTCTTTTTTTTTTTTTTAACAATGTCTTTTGGAGGAAGGACTCTGAATGACTAGTATTCTGAAATATTAACATACATTAACTAATAAAATACACAGTTCATCTTTCTAACCTATTCAGCAATGAGATCAATTGATAATGTCTGTAATGCATGAAATGACTTAATTCTCAATTATTGGTTATGGTTTTTATCTTGTCTCCATTCTTTCCAAAGATTTCTAAAGTTTATTATTGCCATTTATTAATATCTATTGAACTGGAGGAAGAAGGATTTTTATTTGAAGTCTGTCACTGAAGGTGATCACAATGAGATACAAAAGGGTCACTGGAAATCTCTTCTAAGATTTCCCGGCAATTTAACTGCAACAACTTTTAAACACAGTTTAAAGCAGCTCCTGAAACACTTAAGACAATGCATAGGAGGAAAATGGGCTAAGATTAGTATTTTGAAAAATCATATTTTAAATATAATAAAAGCACTCTTACTTAAAAAATAAATTTTTAAACAAATATTTATAGGGGGGTTTATTGTGTATGGGATATAATTCTTAGGGATAACACACATACACAGAAAACAGTAATATCTTAATTATATTTCAATATTAATTTTACAACACAGATTACTCCCAAGGAGTAGAGAAAATGTTTTTCTGTATTTTCTGAGTTTTTAGTAGTGAAACTGCTGTTTACAATAAAACTGACTTGTGTATTCTCTAAGCATTTAGACACTTTCCATTCTGAATTCTAGCCTTTTCAAAGCCTTGGTCTGGGCACTCACCCTTGGCCATGTATTCAGTGATGATGTAGATGGGCTCTTCTTTGGTGACCACAGCATAGAGCCTCACCAGCTTGTCATGCTGAAGCGTCTTCATGAGGTTTGCTTCCTCCAGGAAAGCTTGCACAGACATAGTGCCTGGCTTCAGGGTCTTCACAGCTACTTTCGTACTATTATTATAGAAACCTAAGGAGAAAGTAAGGTGGACATGTATGATTTTATTAAAAAGACTTATTTATTTAAGCATCCAAGTACTGCAGTACAGACCAGAGTTGTGGGAGGTGAGAAGATTTACCAGACTAAATCCAGAGTAAATACCAGAGTGGAGAGCAGAACAGGCAGATCCACTGAAATACACTACAGAGGGGAGCAGAGGATGGCCAGGAGAGGTCCACTAGGCCATGGGGATCAACTCCCTGCCTAGGGATAGAACTTGTGCTGCAGTGATTTCATAGTGCTTCATAGTGCTGTGCTTTAATCTGTTGTGCCACTGAGGGCCTGGTATGCATCATCTCTAAAGCAAAAATGCAAAACTTTTGTGCACATAAGATTTACTTGTAGATAGATAAATATTAGGTAAAACTCTGCAGCATGTTAACATTGTATAAAATTCCCTATATATAACATTAAGAAAAGTAAGTGAAAGATACACAAGCATTCTTTATACTGCCTTACAAAAACACTTAAGATTACTCTAAGATAAAAAAGTTGTTATAAAATAGTAAAGAAAAAATTTGTATGTATTCCACCATGAAGACTAGGATGTCCTCTAATTAATTAAATATTTTTAAACTCATGCCATTTGCAGAAACATGGATAGGACTGGAAGGGAATGTGCTAAGTGAATTAAGCCAGAAGGAGAAAGTCAATATTAGATGATGTCATTTAGAAGTGGAATATAAGAAATCAAACAAAGACAAATTCTGAAACCAACTGTTAAAAGCTGACCATGGATCTGAGGCATCTAGAGGGTAAGAAAAAGGGGCGAGAAGGGGAAAATAGAACACAACAGATGATGGAAGACTATGGTTGGAGTGCTAAGGTGATCCAGAAGGAGAGAGCCCATACTTTCAAAACACTAACAAAGACGTAAAACAAAGGTACTTCAGTAATAAAGAAATAAAACAAAATGCTGTTATTTAAAACACACAAAAATATCCCATACTAATGCTCTCTATATTATATACACACAGAACATATAAACAAATGCACATACACATTGCAATCTTCATTTTTAAAAATAGAGTTATATTGTGCACAGTCACGCACAGATTCAGACAACAGTCTGAAAGAAAATGCACCAAATATTGGTTATTTTCAGTACTGCAATTATTGGTATGGTTCAAAAGTATTGCTCACCATACTTTTAACTATTTAGCAAACTTTCTATAATAAACATAACTTTTATAACTAGAAAAAAAAGGTTTGCAATTTAAAAATTACTTAAATACACAGACTATATTACAGTCATGTAAGTATTTTCCAAGATTTTCCAAGATTGTAGTTGTGCTATTCTCCATGGAAAGAAAATGGTCTGTGCGGAAGCTTCTGGGAACTGCTCTCCCCACTGCCTTCCCCACATCCCATACCAAAGGCTACCCTGAAGCAAGGGAGGCCCCCCAGTTCGGGAAATCTGTCCAATCTATTATGCTGGCCATTTCCCTTGACTGCAGCACACTTTCTTTATGGTGCTCACAGGACATACTTTGGGAAAGACTGACTCCTTAATCTAGCTTTACCACTCTTCACTCTTGTGGGACCTCTCTCAATGATATGCTTAATTTGAGCCTGATTTTCTCCTGGGAGAACCTTCTCTCAGTGGTTTGCAATGCAGAAATAAATAGAGATAACCATGTCACCATTCCTTTTCTCTCTGTTTCTATACTTCTCTTGGAAATACCAAAAACTAGGCAAGGTATGAAGGGCCATTGTTACCACCATGAACCTACCTCTCTGTAGGTGACATCAACTTGATGTGTGGTATTTAACTGTACCTGCCTAAGAAAAATACACCTCTAAGTGCCTCCCTGGTGTTGCAGGCATTAAGTCTCAGAGCTATCACGCTACCACCAGCTACTGAAGTGTGAGTTTGATCTGTGGCCAGCTGACCCACATGGCACTGCAGACCTCTCCTGACACACCTGCTGCCCCCCTCAGCAGTGTATTTCAGTAGAGCCATCTGTTCTGCTCCACACTCTGCCTCAGGTGAATACTCTCACCTCCTGCATCTCTGGCCTACACTCCAGTTCTATATGCATAAATAAATAAAAATAAATCTATAAAAAGAAAAATACACCTCTAGAAATGGTGATGTGAAAGTGTTTGGTCCCAGTTTAATGTATAGAATTATTTGAATAATTCTATACAAGAGCTGTTTCATCAACAGTAAAACATCTCTGGGGGGTAAAATTTGTTATTTTCTATTTTGATTTAATTTGTGAAGAATGTTATTTTTCTTACGCAATGCATTTTTTTTTAAAGATTTATTTATTTGTACATACAGAACTGGGGTACAGGCCAGAGGCTCAGGGGCTGCGAGAGGCTTCACCAGAGACAGAGTGGGGAGCAGAACAGGCAGATCTAGCAGGTACTGCTGAGGGGAGCAGCGGGCGGGTCAGGAGAGGTCTGCCACGCCATGTGGTCTCCTCTGGGGCAGGCGGGATTTGAACTCATGCGGAAGTGGCGTTAGCTTCTTAGTGCAGTGCTTTAACCCGCTGCGCCACCAGGGAAGGCCACGCAATGCATTTTCTAAGAAAAGAATAGTTTCTATTTTGCACATTTCCAAATAGGCAAAAATTGCAGTGCCCAACAGAAAACTTAAAGGCACAATACACAAAATAAAATGCCTTATAATATATGGAGAAGATATCAATGGAAAGCTGACAAAATACTGGCCTACACAAAATAATGGGATCCTAAATATATTAAGTTGATTTGCCGTTTAAAAGCATAATTACAGACAATGTGACATTTCCCATGGCTCTTAAAAGTAAACTTAAAGTAAATGCCACCAACTAAAGTCCTTGATTATTATATTGAATCATGAAAAATTCATTATAAATTTGGTGAAAAGTTTAAAAATAGATCCTCAGCCACATGAATATATCCATGTCAAAGCAAAACATGCAAATAATATTCAACCAACAAAGAACTACGCTGGCTTGTACTAGCACAAAAATGTTCACAGCAGCAGAGTGTCAAGGTCTGGGAACAAAGCCAATTTTGTCAGTAAATAGTGAAATCCATAGATACATTATTATATTTCACCATTCTGTGCATCAATAAAGATGAATGAAAGGGAACTACAACCCAAACAGTGGCTGAATCTCAACAACAAATGTGAGGGAAGAAAGACAAGACTAAAGTGTACATTTGTGTTAAGTTCCGAAAGAGCAAAACTAAACTGTGTTGCATTTCCACATACAAAAATAGAAAAACTATGACAAAAAGCCAGGAAATTACAAAAGTCAGAATGGCCATCATCTTTGGTGCACAGGTTGTGACTGAAAGGGATAGGAGAGGGCTTCTGGGGGCTGGCGATTATCCGTGTGGTCATACTTGCCATATGGGCTTCATTCTGTAATTATTTGTGATATTAAATATATTTTTGTATGCACTTTTCAGTCTGATTGCTATTTTAAGTACCAATAAAGCAAAAATAAAACCTTTTTTCTTGTTTCTTATCTTAAATAAATGATAAATATAAGTTAAAGAACTTATCAAGACTTTTCCATAATACAAAATGATGTCTAAAGGATAAAGAAAAAGTATTTCCCAAGCATAGGGGGAAAAGTTTTCAGGAAATACTGCAGCTGCTGAAGATATTTAAACCACTGATAAGGAGTCTGAGAATCTGAGATGAACAGTGAGTATAACAGCTGTGTCCAGTATAGCTTGAGAATGGATGCAGTTTCCTCTAAGTATTCTCTGAGGGCTGTGACATTTAAACAATAGGGCAGGCTTTCGTATTACACTGCAGGCGTAATTCAGCACTTATTCAGTACTTATTCAGCACTAAGGGGCAAATTGTACTTTGCCCAGCTATACCCCAGTATTGTCAATGCTGACTGCATGGGCATTAACAGGTGGGAAATGATTTTTAAAAAATATTGAAACAGTAGGAAACTATTTCTTATGGAGAGCCATTTTGCCACTGTTAAAGAGCTGACATGATCATTTGAGAGAGCTTCACTTCCAGAAATGACTAACTTGCTAAAAAACACTAAACACTGCAAAGTTGAAACAGGATGCAAGTAGTTAGTTTTGGAAGATGACTAGGGATTCATTTCAAATGAATGGCTCAAAAGAAAATATATATCTAGCATATCTAGCAAATTTCTATTCAAAATAAGTTTTCTTTCTTTGACAGTTTCTGTAGAGACTTAGTGGTACAGGAAGCTTCATCCTTAGTTAGCTTCACTGATCAGTCAGTTCCCTTGGAATCCAGTGATCCACAGAGGAAAACATGTCACCAAGCCAGATGTCAAGAGAATCACACCAGAAAGAGGAAACAGCTTGAGGGAGAAACTCCTCTTGCTTTTCTCCCACTGGCTCCCCCCTTCCCTCTAGAAGAGCAGGTCACTTCCTCATATTTATTCCCTATATTACAGACCCCAGAAAGTCAGACCACAAAATATGATTGCTAATCTGTAAACCATGCTTCACAAAAATATTAACATACTTAGTCAATACAAATACAATTTTTAACTGGTGGTTCATTTTTTGATCAATGAGGAGAGCTAGTCTGCTTAGCCCTTAGGAAATAAAAACAATTCTGGCAGCTTTACTTCGCCCCTGCCACAGGACAGGGAACAGTCAACATGAGACTCACACCCACAGTGAAAGAGGGGACATCCTTTTTTACTCTGCTGGTACTTTAACACCACCCATCCATCACTATTCTTTTGGATCCATTCCCAGTATTCCTCTGCTAAGTACATTCAACATCGTAACACTATTTCAATAGCTAGGAAGGAACTGACAGCAGCCAAATTCGCACAGCCATATCTGCAGAAGATCAAGGTTAAATGTTCTATTTCTTTTCTTTCTCTTCTAGCCTTCCTCCTGCTCATCTTCCTTTCTTCCCTCCCTCTATTTCTCTATCTGTCCCTTTATCTCCCCTCTCGCCCTCTTTCCTTGTTCTTTTCTTTAATATAAGACTAGAAGGACAAAGCACTATTAAAAAACAAACAACTGTCACAACATCCTGGCATTGATACTACTATCGATTTGCAAGATGTTACTTTTTAGGGAAACTGGGTAAAGCTTACATGGGCTTTCTTTGTATTATCTCTGTTAAATATATAAAAGCTTTGTTGACTGGCGATTCTGATTCTATTCCATTTCCCCCATTTTCAGTACATGATTTTTTTTTTTTTTTGGTATATTCAAAGTTGTGTGATCACCACCATAATCAATTATTGGGACATTTTCATCATCCCCAAAGAAAGCCCATACCTGTTGGCAGTGGCTTCCCCTAGCCTCCCATCCCCTCACTTGAGGCAGCTCATTTACTTTGTCTCTATAACTATGTCTATTCTGAGCATTTCATAAAAATGGAATCATGGGCCCTCCCTGGTAGTGCAACGGGTAAAAGCACAGCACTATGATACTACACGCAGCCACTTCATGAGTTCGATCCCCGGCCAGGGAGCTGACCTACATGGTGTGGCATTCCTCTCCTGACCTGCCTGCTATCCCCTCAGCAGCGTATTTCATCAGTCGGCCTGTTCTGCACCCCACTCTGTCTCTGGTGAATCCTCTCATCATCCCTGTACCTCTGGCCTGTACCCCAGTTCTGTATGCATAATAAATAAGTATTCTTAACAAATGGAGTCATATATGTGATTCTTTATATTTACTCTTCTTCATCTAACATATTGACATCAGGGACTATCCCCATTATAGCATGTGTCAGTAAATTATTTCTTTTTATTGCTAAAGAGCTAATGTGTAGCTATACCCCATATTGTTTAACCATTCATCAATGGAAGGACACTGATTGTTTTCACTGTTTGGTTATTCTGACTAGTGTCCTCATGAACATACATGTATGTGGACATATGTTTTTGTGTCAGTATTATTTCTTACAATTTCTTGTGAATCTTGAATTATCTCAAAATATAAAAATCAACCGTGTTGAGTGGAAAATGTTAGTTTACTTCTCCTTTCATAGTCTTTGCTCTGATGTTACCATAATTGCTTTATAATATAAGCAATTATTTAATAATAACAATAATTCTTTGATGCTTACCAGCATTATCTCTGCAATCCTTAAAACATCTTTATGAGCTAGTTTCTATTAAAATACCCATTTCTCCTGGGGCTTTACTGCTTAGCACTTCTAAAACATTATTAAACAAATTAAACAAACAAACAAACAAAAAACCTGAAAAACTGGCAAAGGATTTGAACAGACATTTCTCTAAAGAAGATATGCAAATAGCTAACAACTTCAAAAGAGGTTCAACAACATTATTAATTAGGAAAATGCAAATCAAAATGACACTGACACAAGACCACATACCTTTTATGATAGTTAGCATGAGAAACAAAACAAAGCCCATCACAAATAACAAATGTTAGTGAGGATGTGAAGAAACTAGAACTCTTGTGCACTGGTGGGAATGTAAAGTGGCCAAGCTGCTATGGAAAAAGCATTGCAGTTCCTCAAAAAGTACATAGAATTGCCATATCATACAGTAATGTTATTTCCATGTACATGCCCAAAAGAATTAAAGCAAGATTTCAATGATATTTTCCCATCTATGTTCATAGTTGCATTATTGACAATTGCCAACGATGAAAGTAAACCTGTGTCCACTGATGGATGAAGGGTAACCTATCATGGTACACAAATACAATGGAATATTACTTAGCTTTAAAATCAAAGGTAGGCCCTCCCTGGTGGCATAGTGGCTGCTTCAGTGCGGTTCGATCCCGGCCTTGAAGGTGACCACATGGTGTGGCAGACCTCTCCTGCCCCACCTGCTGCTCCCCTCAGCAGCGTACTTCGTCGATCTGCCTGTTCTGCTCCCCACTCTGTCTCTGGTGAATCCTCTCACTGCCCCTGCACCTCTGGCCTGTACCCCAGTTCTTCTATGCATAAGTAAATAAATCTTTAAAAAGAAATGAGCAATGATATAAAATCAAAGGTAATTCTCACACATGTTACAACATGGGTGAACCCTGAGAACATTATGTTAATTGAAAGAAAACTATGGCAAAAAAGCCAAAAGGAGAAATACTGTATGATTCCACTTGCCTGAGTTATCTAGAGTAGACACTTTTAGAGCAACAGAAAGTAGAGAGGGCAGGCAGATGGACTCAACAACGTAAGCACAATCACATGTGATCACCATCCTATATTTTCCTTCTTTGTTTTAGTGAAGCCTCAAGGCTAAAAAGGGAGGTGCTAAGGAGAGATGGCAGGACCCCAGTTACTGAAATAAACTGCTAGAGGGATGAGGCTGGAGTAGACAGCCTTCCATTTTTAGGAAGTATTCAGAGGGACAGGGGTGAATGCAATGTGTATGTATAAAAAAGCTAAAATAATAAAAGAAAACTTAAAATATGTATATAAAATAAAAATAACAAAATATTATCTGGTATCTAAGGGTAGGCAATATTTATTATACTATTTCTGTCACTATTTTGTAGAGTTGAAAAAATACAGATTAATAAATAAATATGTACAGCTATGGGAAATAAAAGAAGGTAACAATTTTTTAAATGTTCAGATAGTAATTTGACAATTTCTCAAAAAGTTAAACATAGACTCATAACATGATCCAACAATTTTATCCCTAGGAGAATATATTTACCTGAAAAAAGTTAAAACCCTTGTCCACATGATAATTTCTATATAAAATGCTTAAGGCAGCATTATTCACAATAACCAAAAGGTGCAAACAACCCAACTATCCATCAGTGGATAAATGAATAATCTGTGGTTTATACATGCTGGCAAATATTACTCAGCCAATAAAAAGAATGCAATTCTCACGCATGTGATAATATAGATAAAACTTGAGGCTATTATGCTAAATTAAATAAGAGACACAAAAGGGGAAACACTATACAATACTACTTAGATGAGGCACATGGGAGGACAGAAAGTTGCTAAGAGAGAGAGAGAAGGAGAGGGGAATAGGAGTGACTTTAAGTGTGTTTAGTTTTTCCTTTTGCATCTAGATAGAGGTGGTAGTTACACTCCAGTGTGAAGATAGTCACTAAATTATTTACTTTAAGTAACTGATTTTGTAACATGAATTTTACCTCATAAAAAAAGATAGCAAAAGGAGGAGGATGTTATCATGACTAAAGCAACAGAATGTGGATAGTAGGAGACCACATCTAGAACCAGCACCCAGGTCTGCAAGCCTGTGGACTGGATGGAAACAGCTTGAAATGCCCGCCGACTAGTCTGGAAATACGCCACCAAAAAGAAGGATGTTATGGGGCTGCAATTATAATGGACCTGAATTTTCTAAATATGTTCACAAAGACTTACAGTGTAGTGAGAATTAATTACATGATAGGTTAATATATGCCAGATTTAAAAGATACTAGCCTATTGTAGGGACTGCAGGAGGAAGGGGAAAGAGCTTAGGTCCCATGGGCCAAGATTTTGGAGGACAAGCCTCTCTCTCATGGACTCCCAGTGGGGAAGTAAAATGATGAATCTAGAAGAGTCTTTAGTTTCTGCTCAACTAGGTTTAGACAGTTTTTAAAAGCCCTCTGTTCCTCCTTCTCTTTAGAAATTATGTTTGCTCTCACTTATACAAATTGGCACGGAAAAGAGATCCAGAAAGATGTGTAAGACCTAACATGTTATCCTTGCCAGAAGTAAATGCATTTTCATTAGTACTGTGAAGAGTATAACAATTTTAGAAAAAACAGGCAAAAAATAGGCCCTCCCTGGTGGCGCAGCGGGTTAAAGCACAGCACTGAAAAGCTAAAGCCACTTCCGCATGAGTTCAATCCCCGCCTGCCCCAGAGGTGATCCCACATAGTGTGGCAGACCTCTCCTGACCCACCCGCTGCTCCCCTCAGCAGTGTACTTTGATGATCTGCCTGTTCTGCTCCCCACTCTGTCTCTGGTGAATCCTCTCACCGCCCCTGCACCTCTGGTTTGTACCCCAGTTCTGTATGCACAAATAAATAAATCTTAAAAAAAAAAATCACCCAGAGAAAGCCACTGCTATAATTCAGGGTTGCTTCTTGCCAGTCTGAAGAGGCAGGACTCAATGGAGAGGAATGATTCATCAGCTGGGGAACTCAAATCATTTAGAAACTTTCTTGGAGAGAAATTGGCATCAATGTAGGGTTTCTTATTAAATTCATCGGTGAGGATGGTCTTAAGCGCAAGTATCCCTAACCCTGAGAAGGATGCAATTTCCTGCAGTTTAAATGTGTGTCCGGAGAGTCCTATGATGAGAGAATCATGAAAGAGTAGACAGAACAATGAGGATCAAGACCCACTGCCCTCTTCCTTGTGAGTGCAATTCTAAGAGAGAATTACTAAGTCACAAGGAAGAGGAAGAGCCTAATGAAACAGATTTTGCTGGCCAGCTCTTGGTGCCAAGCAGACAGAGAAAAACAAAAGTGGTGTTTCTGATGCAGCTTAGTGTTCGGCAAGAAAAAGGATAGAAATTGGCCTGAGGCTTTATTTCTCCTGTTGTCACCTCCAAACAGGACTCTGGCCCCAGAGCCACTCACTCACCCATCCAGACTTCCCCAAACTGTCCGGCACCAAGTCTTTTCACCAACTTAATGGACTCCCGTGGGATCTCCCAGGCATCTTTATCCCAAGGCTTTTGTGGCTTGGGGCTAATACATGCTTTCTCCAGTCTTCTGCACAAACCATCTGGCTGCTCTAAGTCAAAAGAAAATCAAGTTTAAAACATTATACTTTGTTTTTTGCCAATATCTATAAGAAAGTCTTATCCTCTCCAGCTTGCTTTCATCTATGATCCTGAAGTGCTAATGGGGTTGTCTTTGGTATAGTCATGACTTTTGAAATTCTAACATGAAAAACTCGATTTTATTTATTACTGCTGCTAATCTATTTAAGCAAAAACTACAAAATGGATAAACAAAGACAGACTGTCACTCTTTATAAAATGTAATTTCAGATCACAAAATATGATTTCAGATCATGGATTCCACGGGAGCTCCTCAAGGCATGACAGTGGGGACACTGTCCCATCACCAGGGGACCAGAGCACAGGAAGTACCCAGCACAGAGGCAGTGAATGGGGACTGTGGAGAGAGAGGGGGGATTCCACAAAGGTGGGGTCCCCTGCTCTCGCTACCTTTTGAAGCCTAAGCAAACCTACAGTGTGCATTCCCTGAGGGCAGGTTGTGGGCCTAAATGATAGCAAGAGCTGTCCAGTACAGCTGACTCCAGACACAGGGAATGGACCCAAGGGCTGGACATGGGCACCACCACAGGCTTGGAGAGCAGCACTGGAAACAGAGGACGGAGAATGGTCACTTGTCAGTGTTTCACTGCTGTTGTTATTTCTATTTTCTGTTATCAAATGTATATAATACTGTCACGCACACAAACAGAAATACTTACAAAACTGTAGATCTGCAGCTCTGTATTTCTATTCCAGATATTGAAAGATGCATTTTAAATGTCCTCACAATGTGAAATTGGTATTCACTTCTCACATGGTAATTTTGGAACTGTTAACTCGCATGATTTAGATGGAAGGGACAGTGGTAATTATTCATAAAGTTTGAACCTGACTTTGAATGTGCATTTAATTATGGATAATTTAGAATTAAATATAGAAAAGGATCCTCCAACTTTATCAAAAGAAAAAAAATGGGTAAAAATGTAAATCTGAAGAATGCTTTATATAAAATATTTCTCACAACAAACATTTTGTTTTATTCAACGTCAGTTTCAACTTACTTTGGTAATGTTTAATCATCTCACTGATACAAGGAAAAGTGATTCGTGGAGAGATGTAATAACCCCCATTGTCCAGACTTCTGATTTTGTAGTGCTTAATAACATCACCATGCACAGGGTCATAGTCTCTGACAGACAGAGAGAAACTTCCTGAAGGGGAAAAAACACAAATAAAATTTATGTTTTTATTTCACAAATAAGATCGGCATTATACAATATGATGGTATTCATTTGGCCATGAAAATATGTAAAATGTACATTCTGTATATTGTACACAATCTTTAAATGCCTATGAAATGTTTACCAGGCCCATGAAGTTAACAATTTATTTGCTATGAAGTTTGCCAACAAGATATTTTCCTTCTCCATGATAGTTACTTTTTATTATTTCATTCCATTGAAAAAATATTTTCATTCTGTTCTCTTAAAATTTCAAGACTTACTCTAAATAATAAAGACAAAAGACTCAACAAACATATAGCGGAGTAAGAAATGGCCATAATAGTGTCTGCTTTCTATGTTAAGTTTAGCACCAAACTAATCACTTGACTCTGTTATTTGTTATAGAACTATAAATCTTTCACCACCAGAGCATATATCTTTTTTTCCTTTCAGAAATCTAGAATAGCTTCTAAGAGTAACTTCCTAAATAGTGCTTTATGAGGCCGCAAGTCACTTCCTACCTTTTAAAGTTTCACTTTCTCTGATCAGAAAGGCTCCAGCACTGTTCCCTGGTGCCAGAAGTTGTCTTTCTGCATCTTTCCTGGTTATATCCTTGAAAAACCACCTGAGAAGACATTTTAACCATTCGTGGGTATTATGGTCAAGGGGAGAAAAAGATCAAAACAAACAAGAAATCTATGGCAGCAAGCAAAGCCATCAAAGGAAACAACACATAAGGACTCACTCTTCCGTTTCCAAGGTGTTGACTTTGGCTACGTAGTTGCTGGGGATAAAACCTTCTCGCTTTGTTGAAAGGGATTTTGCTTTCCACCATTCCCCATGCCTGGAATAGAAACACATCAAAAAGGGTTTGTATTCAGTGATTGGCGACACTACAATAGCAGTTGTCTTAAGGTGTTTATTTGGGAAGAGAGATCCCTGGGATCCTAGAATCTGGTGGGAAAATTCACTCCTTGTTGAAATAAAAATATTTAGAGATTGAAGCAAAGGACCATGGTCTTACAACTGAAGTATGGGTCACTGTGCTCAGCACTGCATAAACTAGAGTTGGTGAAAATGGCTCCTATCTTGAAGAAGCAAACATTTGTCATTTCCTCCAGGATACCTAAGAAAAGCTTTTGGATCTTACCGGAAATGGACTCGAGGAAATAACTGACTACAGTTCATGTTATAAATTCCTTTGTTACAACATATAGCTCTCCATAGACAGAGGCTATAAAAAATATTTTTTTAAATCATAAAATAATTCCAAGTAGGTAGATTTCACTCACTAAGGAAACTGGGAGAAATCTGCAGTCAGTGAAGGAGGCAGGAATGAATGGATTCTGGTGAGACACAAAGATGTCTCCCTTCAAGTTCCTACACAGACATAGGATCCTTGTGTATGAGACAGAAAGGACAACTACAACTCAAATTAATCTCTTATTGCCCATATGGTTGAGTTACATTTATTTACGTGTGCTTACATACACACTTAAACCTCACATCAACCCCACCATGCATGTATGTCATTCCCATTTTATTTTTTTAAAGACTTATTTATTTATGCATAGAAGAACTGGAGTACAGGCCAGAGGTGCAGGGGCAGTGAGAGGATTCACCAGAGACAGTGGGGAGCAGAACAGGCAGATAGACAAAGTACATTACTGAGGGGAGTAGTAGGCAGGACAGGAGAGGTCTGCCACGCCATATGGGTCACCTCCCCAGGTCGGAGAGCAAACGCAGCTGAAGTTGCTGTGGCTAGCTTCGCAGTGGTGCTCTTTAACTTGTTGTGCCACCAGGAAGAGCCCTGTCATTCCCACTTTATAAAAAGAAACTGAGGTAGAGCTGAAGTGTCTTGTCAAGGCAACATAGTCATCATGTGGCAGGGCCAGAATTAGGCTCAAGTTCAAGGTCAATCAGTCATCAACAACTGTTCCCAGCCACTAACTAGTACCTTATAATCAATAAGAGGTCTCTTATAAGGGGCATCCTTCTAATTCAGGATGACAAGTCAGTGTACACATGATTAATAGGAAAAACAAGCTAGAGTGCCAATAGTGGGAATTCCTTCTTTCATTACTGTTCAAAGCCCTGTGGTTTGAGTCATGGGTCTGCATGACACAGAAGATTAAAGGAAATGATGACATGTAAGTGCCTTCATGGAACCGCAACTGCTGCTCAATGAGGGCATTTCCAAGATGACCACTGTTTCAGTATAGTGCCCTCAAAAATCAAACCAGATTGGGCCTAGAAAACAGACAAATTTGAGTATACTAACTAAATACAAGTGGCATTTAAAATAATATGCAAATTGCACTTGGGCACAGATGAAAGTACCAGGATTTGCCTTTGGAGGGAAACCTCTTGGGGAGTGTCACAGCCCAACTTAAAAAGAGACTTTGTCTCTCTTCCGTCCACTCCTAAAGCATTCCTGTGACAAGAAGCCTGGGAAGCCCAGCTCACCAAGAACACAGCTCACAATGCTGTGTTGCCCTAAGCAATACAACAGGGAGAGTTTGCAAGACCCAGAAGTCAAGGAAAGAGCAGCAGGCACAGACTGTGAAGGTACACTTACTCCTCCAAGACTTTCATCTTCTCTCCCTTCTTGAAAGACAAGTCATCTGGGTGGAGGCCATCATAGGGGTACAAGGCGATGACAATGTCTCCTTGCTCCTCTGGATCTGTAAATGAAGACCATCAACAAAAAACTTTAGAGTCCATCAGCAAGTTCAACAAATCCTCATCAGGTACAAAGGATGAAATGATGTTCTGAAGAGAGGGACAACTGGAATGACACTTTGGCTCTGTGCTGAGACTCAGGACCACAGGTCTATCGTCAGCACTACAGTCACATACTATGTGGAACGTGATACTTCAGCTCACAGAGAGCTACGGCTATAATTAATTCCAGTTCTGTATTCAGGAAATGATACATCTGAGTTCACAGCAGTGCTGTTCGCAAAAGTGAAAAGGTAGACAGACTCTAAATATCTAAATATCTGGCCAACAGGTGGGTAAATAATATGGTGTGTGCATACAATGGAATATTATTTGGCCTTAAAAATGAATGAAATTCTAATACATGGATGACCTCTGAGGGTATTATGCAAGTGAATTGAGCTGGATAGGTATTGCATAATTGAACAGATATTGATTGATTCCACTTATATGAGATTCCTGGAGTAATCTAACTCACAGAGATGGAAACTAGAGTGACTAGGAGGAGGAGAGGTGGGGAGAATTTAATGGGGATAGGGTTTCAGTCTGGAATGCTGAGAATTTCTTGAAATGGGTGGGGGTAATCGTATACTTAATGCCACTGAACTGAACTCTTAAAAAATAGTGAAAATGGTATATTTTATGTTACATATCTTTTTCTAAATTAAAGAAAAGGCATCCAGGTAAACTACTCTATAGAAATTCTATTTGTGGGCCCTCCCGAGTGGCACAGCAGGTTAAAGCACAGCACTAAGAAGCTAAAGCCACTTCAGCATGAGTTCAATCCCTGGCCCCAGAGGTGACCCAATTGGTGCAGCAGATCTCTCCTGACCTGCCTGCTGCTCCCCTCAGCAGTGTACTTGGTCAGTCAGTCTGCTCTGTCCCCCACTCTGTCTCAGGTGAATCCTCTTACCACCCCCACACCTCTGACCTGTACCCCAGTTCTGTGTGCATGAGTAAATAAAATCTTAAAAAAGAAAAGAAAAGAAATTCTATTTGTAAAGGAAAGAAATCACTATGTTGCTATGAAAACATACCTTTAGTTTGAAACCTCTGTCCTGGTAGAAGTTGAGATTCTGAAACCTAGGAGAGAATATTTGTTAGAACAAAATTTTTGTTTAGTTTTTCTTACATTCTGCTTGCATTGTACTGTTTTTCTAGCAGTAGCACATGAGGTTTAGATTTGCTTATCAGTAAGCTGGAAATAAGTGGAGTACAGAGAAGAGCCTGTAGAAGCTCTGTCACAACTAGTGAAAAGGTTCCTTGTTGGCCTGAGGTGGTGGGGAATGAGCAGGCTCTGAACAGAGGCTGTTAGATGTTTCGCTTATCATAATCCTACCTCTCACCTGGTTTCAGAATCCTAATGACTTCTGGATTCTGTTACTCGCCTAAATGACGATGCTCCCAAAGTCTCTGGTCCCTAATGCAGCTGTAAAGAAGGACTGTATCCAACAAACAAGCAGTTTTGTGGGGCTTGACGTGGCTCGCCTTTTTTCTTGCTCTCTCCTTGCTGTCCAGGAACCAAGAGAGGCTGCAGTTGCAGCTGGTGTGGCAACAGATACTAGCAGCAGCAAGAGATGGGGCCCAGGTGACAGTGAAATTGCTACTGGTCTCTGCGTTTGTCAAACTAGTTTCAAAAATTGTAGTGAGGGTTGTTATTCATATTGAAGGTCCTGAGTTTTCTGTGGCTTAACCTGCCCCTGTCATAGGACAGAATTCATTTCCTGTTATTTAAGTTGGAAGGCGATTTATCAGGAGATCTTGGAGGCACAAAAGGCCATCACTGACCTTAGGGAGGATGGGTAAGGCCTCTATTAAGGGCGGTACTATTGGGAGTTTATACCACAGTCATGTCACCTTTCTAGCTTTCTTTAATAAAAGTAACTTATGTAATGGGACCAAAACAGTTTGTACTGGAATTTAAATTTCTGATGAAAGTCAGTCCAAAATATCTCTAGTTCAGTGAGTGTGAGGAAGTTATGACATTTTCTGGTATCCAAAAATCATAGGTTCAAATTATCCTTCACTATTCATGCAAGAAACTTTATGCTGATTTTTAAAAACCGTTCAGACTTGCATCATCAGTATGATCGGTATGATCAATTTCAAATGATTTAGAGGAAATAATTAGAGTATGACAGAGTAAATCATTCTAAAAACAGCAAGCTGATCTCAAATAGCAAAGCGTTCTTCATTATAAATGTTTTAATAGGCTTTTTATAAATATATATACACAACTCATCTACCTTCACTATTATTCTAAAATGTTCTTTCCTGAGTGTGTTTTTGCATCAATTCAGCCTCACGATCTTCTCAGCTCCTCCTATAATCAATCTAGAGTGGCCATGTTTGGTGCACATTTGGCCAGAGTGGAAATTGTTAGCTATGGCCATGCACTAAAACAGAACAAAGCAGCTCATCAAAGGAGGTTACTGTGACCAAGGCTTGCACTGAGACACTTCAGTCTACACAAAGGAATTGAAAACTTGCAGCTATGTTCTTACTTCTGCTTTCTAAACTAAATTTTAACCTCCTTTATTCTTAATAAAGGAAAAACATGGCATGTATATTTGGACTGTTTTCTTTGTTTTTCTGAATAAAGGAGGTGTTCATTCATATTTTTTTAAACCCACAAAAAAAAACAACTCGGGTTTTAAAATATGTAAAATTCATACCACATGATTAACAGAAAAACTTAGATCCTTTTTATGAGATCTTTGAAGCCTATAAGAAATCTACTGTTACTGTCATTCCTTGTGCTGTTTTATTTTCTGTTAATCACAATTATATTACATATAGTTCTATATCTATAAATGTTTATGTAGGGTTTTAAAATACTGTATTTATATGTATTATCACTAAATTACAGGATCATAAATCTACACATTTTGAGTTATTTAATAACTTGCTGAATAAATGGTTTAATAGTATTTATTCTGAAAAAAAAATTAGGTATAATTAATAGCATAATATATTCACACTTTAAGGACAGAATTCAACTTTCAGTGGTGGACAATGTAATACAGAAACCCATTGATTTTAATGATGATGCACATCTTAAATTCATTAAATATTATAATGCAGTGCTACTTCAGTTAAAAATGATCAAAAAATGATTTGCAAACTTATATTTGCCAAGAGCAACTGATGTCACTTTCAGTTCTATCAATTGAAAATAAAGTTATTAAAAGTATAACTTTAAAAGAAAGGCTAACAGTGACTAATCAGTCTCAACAATGACATGCAACTCCATCTGTCACGCCCACAGGAAAACAGGGCACGTGTGGAGAGTGCAGGCAGGAGGGTTGATGACAACACTGTACTTCAAAATGCCATGACATTAAAAATACTGCAGACTAGAGAAACCATGAAAACTAAATAAGAGGTTTTAGGGGCCCTTGGAATAAACTGCTTCCAGTTCAAATGCTGATATCCCTTAGTACCAGACTATGGGAAGATATACAAGTATGCAGGAAGGGAATAGATGAGAAGAATGTAAGATCAGAAATAAAGTACATTTAAGGTTGTAATTATCTAAAAGTTCTGCTCCTCTCTTCCATGAAATGTAATATTAATTCTTCCTTTGCCAAGCACTTCTCAAAAGCACCAAATTTTTCATCATCCATATGAAATGTCTAGTATAGATATTTGTTCGTCTAAGGGTATAGGACAAAATTAGCTGCATTCTTTTTCTTTTAATTCTCTATAATAAGTCATGACAGCAGAATCTTTGCTATTTTAACTTATTGATGAGTGACAAGATGCACTATGGTATAGTATGATATAACATACCAGGGCTTCTCCCAAGAGGCCACTTTACTTATCTCACTACCTATCCTAAGTCATACAAATTTAAATATGTGTGTGTGTGTGTGTGTGTGCTTTTCTCCTTCTATCTTATGCAGAGACTAGGTCTTTGGACCAGTGATATGAAAAATGATTTATTTTCTATACATAAAAGAGTGACCAAAGGCCCACTGATTATGAAGTTGTGTCTGCTTATGCCTAAAATGCTTAATGCTACTTAAATGATTCAGTATAAAGCGTATCAAAAAAATTTAAGGCTCACAAAATTGACATCATATTTTTTTGCATGCATATGTTATAGATTTGGTATTTAAATTATGCAGCCATGCTTTGATCCTGCTGTGGGAATTCTCTCCTGAGACTATCTACTTACTGGCCTTTGCTGTTTATTGGACGTTGGATCTCTCACATAAATAGTTCGGTCAGTATTACGTACTGGTTGAGTCTTCAAATCTATTCCATCGTCATTCAGATTGTCTTTGCTTTTTGATTTTATACATCCCATATTTCCTGTTGAAATATAAAAGCAATGACATTGTTTTACCATTCTGGAACTGATTCAAGACACCAAAGTCTCTCCTTGAAAGGAGATTAAAAAGAGCATATTTCGATTTTTCATAGTTTAACAATCTCAAATGTGGATACTGTTCACAAATTGGTTTGCTTGTTGATGCCTTTGCTCACATCCATTCAACAACTACTAATTTCCTTCAGGAAAGTAGCTTAAGGTAATCCCTTCAAGTAACTAGTCCTAGAGGGCTAACTAAGCCTTTTAAAAGCCAAGAAAGGGATGGTGAGGTGTTCAATTGGTGAGGGAGGAACACCTTGGCACGTGCTGAGGAGTTCATGCTTGTAAACTTGAAGACAACACAATGTGCAGAGTGAAATGAGGGAGCCTGGGGCATGAAAGGCCAGCAAGATTAGGAGCTATAATGTTCAGAACTGGTGCCAATGAATGTGGCTTCGGGCCTGAGGAAATGGTAGTCCTTCCCCAAGTCTGAAATAAGATGAGGTAGGTTGAGGGAAGTGACCCAATGACATCACATGAGTGTAGGAAAGTCTATATATGATCAAAAGCAATGGGCTTCCCAATGAGCTGAGTGTGGACCCCAGAGAGAAGGCAGGGCTAGAGGTGATGGCACCGGCAGTCATGACTGGAGGGGAGGGCTCCTCTTCAGAGGGAGAACTATGGTGAGAAGGGGGTCTGGGCTTGACCAGGGCAGAATGACACGACTGTGCTACTGTTAAAAAGTAAAGAAAACAGGCCCCAAATAGAGTCCTTCACGCCTGGTCTCACCCAGACTTACTTCCTATTATTGTTTTTTTGTCTCTCCCAATCATTCTGGAGCTTTCCCAACAGCACTAGTGTTAAGCCCAGGGATAATTCCTAGTGATTAGCCCAGAGAGTCTCCCCCTGTCTTTCCTTGGGGGAAGGTGGCATTACGAAAATAATCTGCTTTTGCTAACACCCTTGTCCCACCCTTCATTTCTGTAGCATCTTACAGTACCAAGATGAAATTCACGAATTGTTTAAAGTCAAATTAGATGTCCACATTTGTGAATTACTCCTGAAGGCTAAACTCTTTCAGTGCTTTATTCAACTAATACTACGGTGTGTAAAGCACGTAAAACATGATGGGAACTGAAAAGATGATTATAGTAAGTGGAATTTTTAGGGGGAAAATATGTCCTCAATAAACTCCACAAACATATTTTAAGGACGCCACCCCCAACCCAGACCAGAGAGACCCAAGCCACCAAGAAACAGAAATCTCCTAAGGACAGTGTCATTGGAGGCAGGATGCTGGGACCTGAGGGTGGAGTTAAGCAGCCAGGTTTGATATAAAACCAGACATTGGGCCTTGGGAGAGCTCTTGTATTTTTCTAGCTTTCGCATGCTATTGGGGTTTCAGCTCAGCAGAACTGATAGGACACATTCACCAATTTATCTCCCTCTCTTTCTCCATTGGTTATTCATTTCTTCCTTTCCCTTTACTTTTGTAAATAAACCCTTTATTAACCTTTTTGTGTGTGCCTGCAGTTGCGTCTTCTTTTAGGAGTGCGGGTGAGGACCCACTGTCAGGCCAACCCATTTCATATCGGGGTTGTCCTTGTGTATAGCCCTACAGTCCAAAATACAAGTTAAAAACAAAACAAAATCCACTACATGCTCTGGTGGAAGAAGCATTGAAGCCGGTGTGCGCTGTTACCATGTTATAGCTGCTGCTGCTGCTTTTCACCCTGGTAACCCTTGAACCTCTATGGGTTCTCATCGTATGAAGCCACGAAAGAGAATTTGTAGACAAACCCTCATAAATATACTTTTTAAAGATTTATTTATTTATGTATACAGGAACTGCAGTAAAGGGCAGAGATGTGGGGGTGAGAGGATTCACTAGAAACAGAGCGGAAAGCAGAACAGGCTGATTAGCTGAAATACACTGCTGAGGGGAGCAGTGGGCAAGACAGGAGAGGTCTGCTGCGCCATGTAGGTCATCTCCCTGGGCTGGGATCGAACTTGTGCTGCAGTGGCTGTGGATAGCTTCATAGTGTTATGCTTTAATCCACTACACATTAACCCAGGGAGGGCCCAACCCCTCAAAATAAACAGAGGAAGCAAATATTTATTTAGAGAGTAAGGAAAAAGGAAAAATGAAAACTCCAAGGTAGAGATGCCAGGGGTGGGGCAAAGATGCCACATGGGCCAGTGTCTAGGGGATATTTACCTTTTCTCTCTAGTCTAAAATCTTGTCACCCTCTTTGGACTGGCTCTCTTATGGCTGAACTTCCCCAGACAGCTGTATCCAGCTTTATAGCTCTTATCACTGCTGTTGTCAAAAGTCGCTTAAAATGTACTGTCCTTGGGCCTCCCTGGTGGCACAACGAATTAAAGTGAAGCACTATCTTTAGCCACTGCAGCAAGAGTTAGATTCCCTGCTAGCGACATGCCCACATGGTGCACCTCTCCAGTCTCATATGCTGCTCCCCTCAGCAGTGTATTTCAGCAGATCTGCCTGTTCTGCTCCCCACTCTGTCTTTGGTGAACCCTCTCACCTCCTGCACCTGTGGCCTACATCCCAGTTCTTGTATGCATAAATAAATATTTAAAAAAATTTACTGTCCTTATTATTTACTAGCTTTACAATTTACTGTTCTCATTAGATCTCCTGGGTTTCTCTGCTCTTACCACAGGTGCCTCTTTAACCCTCCCGAAGTCCCTGCCTGCACTGTCCCTGAAGCTGCCAACTCACCCCTAGTTGCCCTAGTGTAAGAGGATGGTCCCCAGGGAATGGGGAGATTCCAAGTTTCCCGCCCTACCCAAGGGAGGGTGGAGCTGAGCAGGGAGGAAAAGATGCTGGAGAAGAACTGGAGTGGGAAGGAAGCAGGAATGGAGAGCCAGAAGGACACCTGGAGGAGGGACGAGGGGGCAGAGAGACATGTGAAGAAGCTGTGTTTGCCTTTTGGTCTAGACAGGTTGAAACAGATGTGGGTGAAAGGCCCGTGGGAAGGTCAACAATGACAGCTGTTATCTTGGTTTTGATTTTGTTCTTTTTCTTCCAGACTTGTCTGGCTATTTTTGATCTTTTTCTATGTGTACCTGCAGGAAGGTGTTTGAGACTTGTGGTGGACTTTTGGGCCTTTCTTTGGGCCGGTCCTGCTCGGGCGGGCTTTTATCCACAGGGAATGGGTAACTTTGGGTGCTTGATTTGAAAACTATATTCTTTGTTTTTTCTGTATTATGCATTAATTGTATTACAGTTAAAGGTCTCTATGTTTTCTCTTGATGTGGCAGATAGCAGAACCTAATTAGAGTAGACAGGTTTGGGGGTCCTGGGGTGCCCTTCTCCCTGCCCCTTAACACTAGTACTCAGAATTCCCAGCCCTGAACAAATACCAGATTCATTCAGATTCAACAGAACAGATGCCCTGGACACAATCTAGAAGATTTTGGGAGCTGGCTCTGTCCAGGTTATCTTTAATTCTGAAGCACTGCCATTTGGGGACCTCTGCTAGAACTTGCGAGAGGGTGGGCAGACAGCATAGCTGGGAGGGGAGTAGGCAATGCCTCGGGGGGAATTATGGGAAATCTCAAGCAGCCTTCTCTCTGCTAACCCAGGACTCTGTTGCCATAGCTCATTTCTATGTGGTGTCCTGCATTTCCAGTAGTTCTGCAAGTTTCAACTTGTTTATCACCTCATTAGTTGAAGTATGATGCTTCTAAAGGACAATCACACTTCTTCTGAAACTAGTGAGCTGTAGTTCCCAAAATAAAGGGGAAGCATGTACTTCTTGATTCAAAACAGCACTTTTTTTTTTATAAGCTAAAGTTTCTGTGATGGAGATGGATTAAAGTTGATCCTCAAATAAGAAAGTTTTAGAGTTGATCTGTAAACAAACAGGTGCTTTTATCATCGGTCCCATCCACTTCTCAACCCCACCCCCCAAAAGCTGGTTTTAACTGGATCAGTCTTTACAAAGGTGCTTTAGGGGCCTCCCTGGTGGCCTAGGGGTTAAGTCTCAGCACAGTCACCTCCTCAGTCTGCGTTCCATTCCCCTGTTTAGGGTCTAGGGTGCTAATAACCCACGTAAGATGCAGCAGACCTCTCCTGTCCTGCCTTCTGCTCCCCACACTGTCTCTGGTGAATCCTCTCCCTGCTCCTCTGGCTATACCCCAATTTTTCCACACACACAAAATTAAAAAAAAAAAAAAAAGGTACTTTAGAAAGGAGGGATGAGGGAAAAGACCACCCAGTGAGGAGGATCCCAAAACAAGGGAGGAGGCTGGAAGGTTCAGCCAACACCACCTCTCCCCACCCCACCCCACCCCCCAACTTGGGAAACCAAGTTGGTCAGGTCCAGACCAGTGGGCCTGGATCTTTCTCCCTCTTCCTTCTCTGCCCTCCCTCCCTCCCCAAACAGGTCTTCACTAATCACCCTTCTGAAAAATCCACCTCTCTGCCCACTTCTCAGCTCCATGCTCTTACTGCTCTCATTACACCTACATTGATCTCTGTACACAGCTCCCCAACAGCATCATCTCATGGGTGCCGCCTTCCAGCCTGGATCTTCACAACAGTATTCCCAGCTCCCCAAAGAGTGCCTGGTCAAGTAGGTGCTCTCAGAGTATTTACTAAAAAAATGAATGGACCACACAGCTCTGGCTGTAGCAAGGGCCCATCTTGATAACAATGAGCAAAGGGGTGAAAGCCATTTCAGTGACTATTTTAAAAGACACAGAGAGACCTACAGAAAAACTTCTAGAAAATGCAGAGACTCGAGAAACAAAATGATCAGATGAATCCATAACTTCATTAAAGACAATTAGCCTGGATATTTCAAGATCAGGGGGTGAGGGCAGTGGAGTGGGGGGCTGGGGAGGACTGGAAATTGAGACCATATTAAAAGACTTACCCTGGATGGAAAGGTTGGAGGGCGGGGGGAGCAAAGTGAGAGGAGTTTGATGAGGACATATAAGTGGGGTCATTGGGGAAACCTAAATATATTTGCAC